AATTTAAAAAGTGTGACTGCTGTAAGCAACAGATTCTGGAGCTAGGAACACCGGCCCTCGCGGCCAAAAAACAGACCGGCCCACCGGGAATTCTCCCGGTTCTCTCGATTAGCCAATCCGGGCCTGTTTCTATGTAGGTTTGTATTAGGTTTGGATTAGGTTTGTAGTACTACCACAGTACCTCACTGTTTTGTTATACGTGTCACAAACCGCATCGTTTGAGTTTATGGAAGTGAAGTAGCTCCACACATAACTTCGCATGTGCCAGCCCAGCGGACTGAGTGACTAGCTAGCCTCCTCTGCAGTTGTACAGTGCCATATTACGCACATTACTTTGCAGGCGGAAGAACAAGTAGTCCGACTAAGTTGGCATTATTCAGAGAAACTAGGGTAATTGTGGTTACTTCCCGCTGTATTTCTACTTCCAATAAAATACATATTTGCTCCAAATTATTGAAATATCGATATTTTGATTAGATAATCGATTCTAGAACATACAAAGCTGGTATCGGAGATATCGATATTTTAGTATCGATCCGCACATCACTACTGATTTTGTTGTACTACACGGAGAGTGATAAATGATTGGGCCAAGTGACATGTGTCCTCGTTCATTCACCGGCTGCAACTAAAAGAGAAGGGAGTTAACCCCGAAACTAATATTATTCGGCCCTGGAGTAACAAGTGAATCTCCCCAGCTATCTCTAACACAACAAAGAGACAGAGCAGGAAAGGTTTACATACGTAATATTTTTTCCTGAGGCGATTTGAAGCAAAACACACAATGACACTTCATCAAACATATCCACAATGATAAGGAACATGGTTACTTATTGAGTTATTAACGCACAGCAATACCACGTGAAGAAAGGACGAACTTTGAAGGAATAAACATTGTGAGGAGAGCTCCAGAGCTCCATTATAATGCACTGGGCAAGTCTTAACATGTTCCGCCCACGCGTGCGCGAGGCAGGGAGGTCTGTACAATTACCTAATTTATCGGCAAATTATAATTTAGACATCGGATCGGTAACGATAATCTTAAAAATAGCATTCATCAGCCAATAACGGTATGGCCGCCGATATATTGTGCACCCCTATTTATAATTATATTTTGAATTTGATGGTCGTCTCTCACATTGTCCCACAATAACATTCAAATAGTGTAGATTAGTGTACAATGTTTAATATTTATTTATAGTCATATACTTTTTTAATATATTAATATTTATATATTACATATTTATTTATAGTTAGAGTTTTTTTAAGTAACGTACTAGTTACTTTCCCTGGTAATTAGTTACTTTTATAATTAACTAACTAATTAACTATTTGTGAGAAATAACTACTTTAACTAATTACCCTTTTAAGAAATGTGCTCAACACTGCTTATAAACAGATACTGACACTGCTAGAAAAAAATAAGACCTTTTGTAGGGAGGAAGAAAGGAAAATATTTTATTCTTTTTTTTTTTTCAAAGTAAAAAATGAGAGAATTTTCATTTGTGAGTAAACAAGCTATTTAGTGTGAAAGGAAGTGAGTGGCAGGTCAAATTATTTCTGTAATTCAAAACAGGTTTAAAACGGTTCGGAAAATAAAAGGGGGGGAATTTCGGTGCATTTTTGCACAATGCTGCAATACGTCATTGGATGTGAGTCTGAAACACATGTGTTCTGGTGTTTTTGTTGCTATGCCTGTACATCTGGCTGATGTAAATGAAATCTGAAGAGCAAAACGGTCCACGCCTAGAACAACACCCTACAGCAGAGAGAAAATACAGCAGTTTAACACGAGGAAGAGCGACCGTTCACTTTCAAAAGCAGCAATAAAATCTTTATAGTACTCATGTGAGAACATTACTGAACTGGACTGGAGATCAAATGTAAAAACTGATGAGAAAGGTTAAGCTTAAAAATCCAGATCATTGAAACAGGACAAACTGCATTATGTAAACTTATGGCAGCATTTGACAGGCATTTTGAACTCATGCGGCACGGTGGCTCAGTGGTTAGCACTGTCACCTCACAGCAAGGAGGTCTCTAGTTCGAGTCCCAGCTAGACCAGTTGGCATTTCTGTGTGGAGTTTCAGCCTGATCTCACGAGAAAACGTAAGTATTTTACGTTTTGCAGTTTAGTGGCTAATTCGTACGAATTCGTATGAGTTCAGTCGTACGAAATGGTACGATTTTAAAAAGGAGGCGTGGCACCTGACCCCACCCCTAACCCCAACCGTCATTGGGGGATAAGCAAATCGTACTAAATTGTACGAATTTATACGAATAATTTATTTTTAAATCGCGGCTTTAAAACTTAATTCTCAAAGAGCCTTACACTTCTATTAAAATATAAGGATAGCAGACACTAGAGCTGCACGATATTGGAAAAAAATGGCTGCTGGTTCGAGCCCCGACTCGATCAGTTGCCATTTCTGTGTGGAGTTTGTTCTCCCCGTGTTGGCGTGGGTTTCCTCCGGGTTTTTTCCCGGACAGACAGACCGGG